CTTTTCTTTTTTTTTTTTTTTTAACAGAACTTGCCTCAAGTTTATTTGTAAAAACAGCATAAGGTCCTGAACATCTGCAAATACTGTGTAGGTGTTCACACCAGTCCATCTGTCTTCACACTGGCAGACTGCGACCTTTTTTATGGGGCCTTCACAGGGGCCTGGGCACCTTTGGGAGCCTGAGCTGCAGCTGAGGCCTCTGCCTTGGCTTGAACCTTGGGCTTTGTTTTTTTGGAGCCTACGACCCCTGGCCATGTAGCTTCTAATCCACTTCCCAAGCTTGGGGGTGAGCAATTAAAGCCAGACGGGGTGAGTTTGCGGGGTGGGGCCCTTTGGCACCTTGGGCTTCACCACCTGGGGCTTCACCAGGGCCTTGATGGCCTCCGCACGTGCGCTCATGGCCTTTGCATTATTTGCCTGCATCTTCTTCAGGCCTTTCTTGTTGTGCTTCTTGGCAAAGCGCATGTTCCTCAGGAACTTGGGGTCAACCCCCTTGAGAGATTCGTATCTTTGTGACCGGGGTTTCTTGATGCCGTTTCTGTGCCATTTCCGGGACTGGTTGTGTGTGGTGTGGTTCTTGGACTTGGCCATGGCTGGACGGTAATCGGAGGCTCCCGAAGCGCCTGCGACCGGAAGAGAAAGAGCTTTCTTTTTTTTTTTTAATAAAAAAAATTGTATTTACTTAGAAGCATTCAGAATGTCAACAAAACAGCTGCAATTTTTTTTGCAATTACAGAGTGGTATTCAGTTAACAGAACAATAATTATCTTCGTATAAACTGCATCAGAGACAACTGAAGATGAAAAAAAAAAACTACCGTCCCCATATATAACTAATTTGTGCTGTGCACCAACAAGAACCTGCTTTAAATTTCCATGCCAATTTACAACCCCCAGACTGTACCAGGCAAGGTTAGTGGCTATTGAAAATACCACTAGGACAGGGCTATCTAAAGACACATTCAGTAGTGTGTTAACTATACAGAAAAAGACACTGTACAGTTTAAAAAAAAACCTTACACAGCCTTACATTTTAATTTTTTTCTTTAAAAGGAGTGAGTTGTGTACAGGGGAGTTAATTGCTTTATAGACAAGAAAAAAAACTGCGTTAGAACCAACTTATTCATCATCATCATCTTCTTCCTCATCTTCGTCTTTCTCTTCTTCCTCCTCCTCTTCATCCTCTTCGTCTTCCTCATCATCTTCCTCTTCCTTCTTTTTCTTGCTCTTTTCCGCCTTGACCACTCCCCTTTTCACTGCATAGGGTCTTCCTTTAGCTCTGTAAGCAGCAATATCCTTTTCGTACTTCTCCTTCAGCTTGGCAGCCTTCTTTTCATAGGGCTGCTTGTCATCTGCAGCAGTGTTGTTCCACATCGCTCCCAGTTTCTTTGCAACATCCCCATGGATAGCCAGGGTGTTCTCCTTTGATTTTGGGGCGATACTCAGAACAGAACAAGAAGAAGGCCGAAGGAGGCCTCTTGGGTACATTGGAATCCTTGAACTTCTTTTTGGTCTCCCCTTTGGGGGGGATGTAGGTTTTCATTTCTCTTTCATAACGAGCCTTGTCAGCCTTGGCCAAGTCTTCAAATTCCCCCTTTTCTTTAGCAGGCATGGTCTTCCACCTTTCTGAGCACTTCTTGGAGAACTCTGAGAAGTTGACAGAAGCATCCGGGTGCTTCTTCTTGTGTTCCTCCCAACAGGTTTGCACAAAGAATGCATACGAGGACATTTTGCCTCTCGGCTTCTTAGGATCTCCTTTGCCCATGTTTAGTTGATTTTCTTCCGCGAGGCACAGAGTCGCCCAGTGCCCGTCCGGCTCTCGCTTGCCCCGGCGCTGTCTCAATGTACTGCAATGGCTTTGTTGTCTCCGTTTTCAAATCTGCTTTTACTAATTAGCATCTTCTGATTCTTTTTATTTTTCTCATGGTTGTGATGAAAATACCTGAAAAAAGGCAACTCAAAGAATGAAGGGATCCAGTCCATCACGGTGGGGAAGTCAGAGCAATGGGACATCCAGAAACAGAGAGGGCATGAAAGCTAGTTAACATCCCCGTAACATCCTCGTTTTCCTTTATTCCGGGACCTCAGCCCATGGGATGCTGCTCATAGTTTTTGTTGGGGCTCCTTCCTAAGTTAATGTAATTTAGACCACTCTTCAAAGACACTTTAAAAGATAACTTGGATGGTTTATTATTTAATTTTTCTCATCACCATGACCCAATGCCTCACATAAACACCGTAAGTGCAGACAGACGATTCTGCTCATGGTTTCATGGTAGGAAAGACATGACGTCATCCAGACTAGTCGAAGTTCCTGTCATGGCGGAGGGGCATGCAACAGCTTGTTTACATCTCAGTGGATCATGAAAACAGAGCTCTTTGGCCTGACATGGGTGTGTGATTACACCTCAGAGCCCAACTCCCCATGACTTACTCCTTCAGCAAGTCTCACCATCATAAAGCTTCCACAAATACCCAAACCAGCCAGGGAACCAAATGTTCTGCTCTATGAACCTTTGGAGGGAATTTCATATTCATAACAGCTGCTTATAGTAGTCATGTTGTTCCACAGTTACCTATTTTAGGCCCTGAGAAACACCAACATGTTTTCCCTGGCCTTTACAGTTTCTTTTGGGAAGTGTGATGTTATTATGATCTGTTGTCATTTACATGTGTTTAGAATTTTTCTTTTGCAGTTTTGAAATGTCCTGTGAAAAGATTGCTTATTGGTCATGTCTATTTAGGGTTTTAAATACCTCTTGTAGTTGGATGCCCACTTGCCATCTTGAAAAACTTACCGTCTTTGAAGAAATGTTTTTTTTTTTTTAAGCATTTGGTGTTTTTGGTTTGTTCATACAAACCCTTTATGCCTTCTAGAGCCTATTGCATATGGTCCAAATATCTCGTATATGGCTTTTCTTTTCACCTTATAGTGACTATTTTGCGAAACATGTAAGTTCTCTCACCGTATAAGCTAACATATTTGTACTTTTACAAAATCCCCCTACTTTGAGGTGGTCATTGTGAAACCATAAAAGAAGGACAAAAATTTTATATCTGAGATAGTATTTTCTTTTGGTTATTGAGTGGGTTTACTACATGTTAAACTGGCAGATCTTGTATTTAATGTCTGACATGCCTTGTGTTGTAGGACACAAATATATATCTGGCTGGCACAGAAGAAGGCCTTATTCACAAGTGTTCCTGTTCATACAATGAGCAATACCTAGAGACATATAGTGGACACAAGGTCAGCTTAATTCTTGTAGATTTGGAAACTGTATCTGCTGGTATTTCTGAAAGGCACATATGATGTGTTTAATAGATGCAATAAGTTTACAACTGTGGGTTAGTTGCCCCTTGACTAAGTGCATGGGCTGATCCCAAAAAAACATTGTTTCTCGCTCATATTGATTCTCTGTTTCTTTATGATCATACATCCAAACTTGTTTGTTTTTCATTACGTTATCTGATGTCCTTTCAGAAGGCTGTAATACCTGTTAATAGTTACTCTCCATTTTCCCAAGTGTGTTTTTATATTGAATAATTAAAGGAAGATCAAATTCATAGCTTTGCTTTCAGCTAAAGCAGTTCCTATGTAGTGCTCAGGGGTGTTTGTAGCTTCCAGAAATCTTAATTAACTTCTAACTTATTGGCCAAATTTAAAAATATAAGATTTAAATATTCTTTTTCCTATGCATGACATTTTTGCATTCCCAGGGTCCAGTGTATAAAGTCACGTGGAACCCATTCTGTCCTGACGTCTTCTTGAGCTGCTCTGCAGACTGGGGTGTCATGATCTGGCGTCAGGAGACTCTCAAGCCGTATTTGAGTTTTTACCCAACTACTTACGTTGTTTATGATGTCGCCTGGTCTCCAAAATCCGCTTATATTTTTGCTGCTGCAAATGAGAGCAGAGTAGAAATTTGGGACCTTCAAATCAGCACGTGCGTATTGAATGCTATGCTTTGAGTGATGTCTCCAGCAACACAAGCAGTTCAAATCAAAAGATCTCTCCTGTAGCTTTGTCACCAGGTAGAGCATGCTGTGGCTCAAGCAGTGCCAGTCACAACTCGGCTGTGATATTATAGAATGATTTCCTCTTGAATAAATAACATACATAATAGAGTGGCTATTTGAATGTTCCATCCCTTGATTTTCATTTTCCTGGTAAAAGTATAGTTTCCAGGGCAATGCTTCTCTGGAAACAGAAGAATGCAGCTGCTTTTCCTTTTTGAAGGATACAGGTCGGATGTTTTCATGACCAAGACTAAGAACCATGCCTATTGAAGGTAGCCTTACGCTTCAGCAGTTCATGTAGAACCAAATATTCTTCCGCAAGAGGTAATTATGGTGGCCTGTGGCAGGGCCGTGCCTGCTGCACACTAAGGCATTTCACAGGCAGGGCTGTACTGCACTTCATAGTCTTTTCTCAGTTTGATGAAGCATACCTATAATGTGGAAGGGAGTTTTGTTTAAATTCTAGTTGTAATGTTAGTCACAACTGAGAGCTGAGACACACACACACACACACACACACACACACACACAGAGTCAGAGAGAAAGAGAGAGAGACATAGAGATAGACAGACAGACACAGAGACAGAGAAAACAAAAACTTTGAGTGATGGCAGATGAGTAAAATCACTGTATATGGTCCATAGTATAAGTCTACACACAAATAACTAGCACAAAAACTCGTTTATCTCTTCACATTTAAGTTAGGTGTAGTGATGTTTTGTTTGTAATCTAACAAGTAAAGCTTGCCTGAAAATGAAAGTGCAGAGCTAAGCTACTAGTTAACCATCGAGGCCAGGCAGTAGTGGCACACACTTTCAATCCCAGCACTCAGAAGACAGAGGCAGATGGAGCTCTGGGAGTTCAGGGTCACCCTGGGATGCACGAAATTGATCCAGTCTAAGAGAAACAGAGCCAGGCAGTGGTGGCTCACACCTTTAATCCCAATCCTCGGGAGTCCTATTCCCAGCACTAGGGGGGATGGCGTCAGGAAGGAATATGACTGAGCGGAGAGAAGAATATACGGTGGGAGGAGACAGGAGCTCAGTCGTTTCCTAGAGACAGGATTGCCCCTTTCAGTCTGAGCATTGGTAGAATAAAAAACTCCCTAGTGGCTGGCTACTCTGCTTCTCCAGTCTTCAGCATTAACCTCCATATCTGATTCTGGGTTTTTATTTCTTTTTTTTTCTTTTTTTTTTTTATTGAGAAAAGAAAAAAAACCAAATTTCCTCCTCCTCCCAGCCTCCCATTTCCCTCCCCCTCCTCCCACCCTTCTCCCCCTCCTCCCACCCTTCTCCCCCTCCCCCCACTCCTCTCCCCCTCCCTCTCCAGCCCAAAGAGCAGTCAGATTTCCCTGCCCTGTGGTAAGTCCTAGGTCCTCCCCCCTCCGTCCATTTCTAGGAAGGTGAACATCCAAACTGGCTAGGCTCCCACAAAGCCAGCACATTACGTAGGTTCAAAACCCCGTGCCATTGTCCTTGGGTTCTCATCAGCCCTCATTGTTCGCCATGCTCAGAGAGTCCAGTTTTATCCCATGCTTTTTCAGTCACAGTTCAACTGGCCTTGGTGAGCTCCCAATAGATCAGCTCCACTGTCTCAGTGGGTGGGTGCTCCCCTTGTGGTCCCGACTTCTTTGCTCATGTTCTCCCTCCTTCTGCTCCTCATCGGGACCTTGGGAGCTCAGTCCAGTGCTCCATTGTGGGTCTCTGTCTCTGTCTCCATCCATCACCAGATGAAGGTTCTATGATGATATGCAAGATATTCGTCAGTATTGCTATAGGATAGGGTCATTTCAGGTTCCCCATCCTCAGCTGCCCAAGGAACTAACTGGGGACCTCGGCTTGGGCATCTGGGAGCCACTCTAGGTTCAAGTCTCTTGCCAACCCTAAGGTGGCTCCCTTAACTAAGAACCATGCTTCCATGCTCCCCCATCCAACCTTCCTTCATCCCAATCCTCCCCCTTCCCCAAGCTCCCCCCATTCTCCCCCTCTCCCCCCTCTCTCCCCATCTCCCCTTACCCCCATCCCACCCCACCCCCAAGATCTCAATTTTCTCCCCGGCAATTTTGTCTACTTCCCATAGCCAAGAGGACAACTATATGCTTTTCCTTTGGTTCACCTTCTTACTTAGCTTCTTTGGTATCACCAATTGTAGATGGGTTTTTATTTCTTAAGATCAATTAAAATTTGTGCTACAGGTATGAATTAAATTTTCCTGGTTGTAACTTGCTTGTTTAAAGAATGAAGTTTTTGATTAGGAGCAAATGTTATTCAAAATTTGGGAACACTTTAGGAGATTTTTGGTTTGTTACATCATATTTTTTAAAAATCAAACTTCCCTCAGTTTGTATCTTTTAAAAGAACATTTTCATGTGACACATAAATTTTCAGATAAACTATTTCATTACAGTTTGGATCCTCTGATTGTGAATGTTGCTAACCCTGGAATCAAGTTCACAACCGTTCTCTTTGCCAAGCAGACAGATTGCCTTCTCGTGGGAGACAGTGATGGGCAGGTTGCAGTCTATGAACTGAGAAATATGCCTACTGCTTTGGACAATGGCCGGGTAAGACTTGGATGCAAAATTTTTAGGTCCTTTTGTGACTCTGTTGTGTTGTAACTTTGTAGCATGGCATGGATGTACATTTAGTGACACATAGGAGGTGTGTGGGGTAATGAGGGGGTCCCAAGTGTCTCTGCTTTTACTGTACATGGTATCCAAGCTTGTCCTCAGTCAGTCTCAGTTCCTTAGTTATAGACAATAAATAGTGAGGATATGATGGCCCCACAGATGACCTTAAACACCATCGGGAGGAGCTTGATGTCATGCCTACTGTGCAACCAGGGCTTGGACAGTAGGTGAGGCTGAAATAAATGTCTTCAGAGATTGTCTACTGTTCTGGAAGTGAGAATTGGTTTCCGGTGCTTCACCCTATGCGGCTATTCAAATGTGAGCATTATGTTGCCGAATTTTGACAGAAAAGCTCAGTATCCTCAATGCACATTATTTTTATGATAGATTTTCAGTTTTTCTTTGTTTTGGTTATTTCAAATAATAATCTGGTAAATATCCTAATATGAGAATGTCAAAAGGTTTAGTACTATTTCTGTGAGCATAACCTACCTACCCCTCCTTCATAGTTTTGGAAAGCAGTTATAGCCCCAGTAATAAAATGAAGTAATTCTTATCAAGGTATTATATCAAGTGACATCAAAATTTTTCTCTATTAGTTTCAACCAAGAGTATGTCAAAGGTTTGGAGAGCTCTTGGTTTCATTTATAGGAAAGATATGTACCAGGTTTCTTCCTTCCTTCCTCCCTCTTTCCCTCCCTCACTCCCTCTCTCTCTCTCTCTTTCTTTCTTTTTTTTTTAAGATGAGAGAGCTCAACCCAATCACAGCATGCTGGGAGTTTATTTAGTTTTCACATTCAATACAAATTTGCATTTACAAATTTTATCCAAATGTTTTTTTTTTCCCCAGCAAGAAGGGGGTTTTAGTCTGGATTTTATAGCAAAGTTTTGGGAGAACCACATGAATTCATAAAGCCATTTTTCCCCTGGAGATTTTAATGTGAAGCCCTTATGGCACAGATACTGAAATCACTTCACGAAAGTAGTTTACATGTGTAAAGTCCTTCTAAAAGCCACCAAGAATGACAACAGAAAATAGAGAGAGGCAGAAGGAGACTCTTTCTTTAAGTCAAATTCCTTTTGTTCCTAATTCAATTTGTTGGGACTGAGGGTGTAGCTGAATAGTAGTTTATGTTTAGCCCATATGAATTCCTGTCTTCCATTTCCAGTACTAGAAGGGAAAAAATAGATCTGGATCCAAAAGCCACTATCAAAACTAATAGAGCTGGTGTTAATATTAGTCAACAGGATGATAGGATTTTTTTCAAAATAAAACGCTTAAACATTACATAAATCAGCTTTCTGTTTTATTGTTTTTATTGAATTATATATTTTTCTCCCTTCCTTTCCCTTTCTCCCTCCTCCCCTTCTGTCCTCTCCCATGGTCCCACGCTCCCAATTTACTCAGGAGATCTTGTCTTTTTCTACTTCCCATGTAGATTAGATCCATGTATGTCTCTCTTAGGGTCCCCTGGGTTGTCTAGGTTCTCTGGGACTATGAATTATAGGCTGGTTTTCTTTGTTTTATGTCTAAGAGGCACTTATGAGTGAGTACATATGGTATTTGTCTTTCTGGGTTTGGGTTGCCTTACTCAGTATGTTTTCTAGATCCACCCATTTACCTGCAAATTTCAAGATGTCACTATTTTTCCCCCACTGTATAGTACTCCATTTTGTAAATGGTGTGCCAGATGTCTAAGGCTGCTCCTGGGAAGTGACTCATAAGGATAGGAAGGCATACAAAAAGAACTTCAGAGCTGCCAAAGCGCTCAGTAAATCAAAGTGTTTGCTGTGCAAGCCTGGTGACCTGAATTCAATTCCTTTAATCCATGTAAAGATGGAAGGGGCATGGTAGGGATGATACTGACTCCACAAAGTTGTCCTCTCACTTCCACACAGTCAGCATGACATTGCACCTACACACTCATTTACTTTTTCTTTTGTAGGAACATTCTGGTGTGGGAGGTCCTTGTGTCTATGTGTTGCTTTTATTGGTTAATGAATAAAGAACTGTTTTGAGCCTATGGCAGGGAAGAACAGAACTAGGCAGGGAAATCTAGGCAGTATTCTTGGAGAAAGAAGGGCAGAGTCAGAGAGAAGCCATGGAAACACCAGAGACAACAGATGTTTGGAACTTTGCTGGTAAACCACAGCTGTGTGGTGATACACAGATTACTAGAAATGGGTTATTAATATGTAAGAGTTAACCAATAAGAAGCTAGAGCTAATGGACCAAACAGTGATTTAATTAATACAGTTTCTGTGTGATTATTTGGGGTCTAAGCTATCCAGGTGGCCGGGAACCAACAAGCGGCCTTCCTGTTACAACATTGTTTCTTTTATTAAAAAAAAAAAAACAAGACAAAGAGGCCTTTGTTGAATGTGTGTGTGTGTGTTACATGTATGTGTCATCATGCATACTTCTATGTTTGTGCAGACACTAGGGGAGGACATTAGCTGCAATATCACCTGAGAGACTCACTCTCACTAAAGCTGGATCTAGATTGGCAATAAGCAGCTCCCACAGATCCTCCTGTCTCCACCCACCCACAGTGCTGGGGTTGCAGGCACTCAGACAGAGGGCAATGCCCAGCCTCTTATGAGGTTCTGGGGATTTGAACTCAGGTCCCCATGCTTGCACAGCAAATGCTCTTCCCCTCTGAGCCATCTCTCCAGTCTGTATTTGTTGATTTGGGTGGATATGTATTTTGTAAACAAAGAAAGCTACCATGCAGCCCTTGTGTGTAGAGTGCTAGAGCAGAGTTCAATGAATTGGTACAGGTTTTTGGACCACATGTTCTTTCTCTCGTTGCCAGTTACTGTTTGTGACTTTCCAGTAGAAGGATTTTGATTTGGGGGTTCTGAGAGTTTTAAATGGAATGATTTCTTACATTTTGGTGTTTACTGGAGGAGTCTAGGGGCAATAGTCATCAGATAATACATGACAAATGGTTGGCTCCAGCCCTGGCCCAGCAAAGGGACTCTGGTTAGGGTAATTTAAACAAATGCCATGACTCACATCTTGAGAACTAAAAAACTAAAGTAAGTATAGTCAGGATGTTAAGAGAATAGAGAAATATTTATTAGCCACAGCTGGCAAGGGAAACACAGGAATTATTGCCAAAGCAATGCTTGTCTTGCTTAATGACTAACAGAAGTATTAGGTTCCTGTGTGACATGAGCGTGGGACCTGGTCCAGGTTTGCAATCATAACTCTGTAGTATAGCTAACTATAGACAGGATGTTCCATCCCTTATCTGTCATGATCGTGGAAGCACCAACACTTCTCTTGCTGTGATAAAGGTCAACCACTAGGCATTTAAGTTTTGCTTTAAAGAGTTATGGTTTAGAATTCAGTGGAAGTCAGTGCAGTGGGCCTTGTAGGAAGAAATCTCTTCCATGACTAGACTGTAGAGATTACCCTTGAATACTTCATTGGCCACTATGGCTTGGTATACAGATATTTGCCATATTTTTCTCTTTTTGGGATATATATATAGTCTTTAAAAGGTGGGATGTTTAAAATGGAGCTTAAAAATATGATATGTAATATTATAGAGTACTGTTGAAAGATACTGAAGGCACTCTTGGATTGATAAGATACCTACTGAGTGCACCAAATGACAGGGCCTGTCTTAGGCACCAAGGATCATCACAGAGCAAGCTGCAGGACTGATCGCTTTCATTAACCCAAGTGAGAGACAGAAGCAGGAAGGACAGCTTTGGAAAGCACATTAAGGTTAGAAATGGCCAGGCTTTATTTTGTTGCATTACATGCTGTAAGAAATGGCCAGGTGTTACATTGTTACATTGGAGGCTGTAAGAAATGGCCAGGTGTTACACTGTTACATTGGAGGCTGTAAGAAATGGCCAGGTGTTACATTGTTACATTGGAGGCTGTAAGAAATGGCCAGGTGTTATGTTGTTGCATTGGACTTGGGTGCTGTAGGCTGAGGAAGCACTAAAGGCAGTGGGTGCGGTGCAGGACAGAGGACTGGAACTGACTTCTGAGATACAGGGGCTCCTTGGTCTTTAGCGTTTAGATGCGGTTGGCATTCCCATCTCCCATAATCTTCAGATGCCGATTTTCTCAGGCTCCCTTTTCCCTTGTGGTAGGGGGAACTTGGTCTTCTTTGGTCTTCTTGTCTTTCACTCTAAATTCTTATGTTCTTCTCATCTTTGGTTTTTATCCTCTTGTCTGTAGTCATCTTGTGATTTTTGGTACAAACCTACATGAAAATCAAGAAGCCTGTCTCTAAGACAACTATTGCCAGGTCAGGAAAGAACTGGGAATGCAGGGGAGCAAGCTCAGGCTTAGGCACGGAGGCGCTAACGCTGCCCTTCCATCAAATCCTTGTAAAATTGTTTGTCCAACTTCATTAAAAGAGCCTTTACTGGCAAAGCAGGTATATACCAGGAAGCAAGTGTCATTATTTAAACCTTCCCCTGTTTGTTCCTCTTTTCCAGTCTCAATGGATGCCCATTAAATGTGTATATATCTAACTTTCAAATTTCAAATGGCATTTTAAAGGCAGATTTACTGTTCAGATTGAATTTTATTGTATTGTAATTATGGGTTTTTCTTTTCTTTTCAGGGAGATGTAATAAACGTTCTGCTTGGGTCCAAGACAAACCAATCAGTATAATCTATCATTTGGATTCTGTTGCATTTTATTCTTGTTTTAGGAAAAGGGAATAACATTATATACCATAAGATTTTTAGTTTTAAAAGAGCAATATGGGGTCTATACCTTCCATTTAAATTAAATTAGCTTCTATTTCAGAAATGTGATTAGTTTATAATATAAAATAAGCTTAAGGTTTTTGTTGGGATTTTTTTTAATTTTCTAAAGATATTTCTGCTACACTTCTTGGTCATATTTGAAGTATCTATTAGCAAATACATATGCCTGTAAAATGTCTAAATAGCTTAAAAAGTGATTTTTTAAAAAAAACTTAGCTATTTTTAGAATTACTTAATCTTCAGTCATTAGAAGGTAAAATTCCAGCAACTATCAAACCTGCTTCCCAAGCTCTGCTTTTATGATTTACAGCCGCACGGCCACTTCTATGAGCACGGTGAGTTCTCACACCTGACTTGGAACATCGTTGCTGTCCTCCTAAATCCGAGCCCTGAAACTAGAGAGCTTTGTCAGACCACTTGACAAGCTAGGGGATGGAGCAGCAAATATCAGCATCCCATTGTCCAGCTAGCCAGCATCCTACTCTCTCGTCAGAGGGCAGCGCTCATCTGAAATATGTCTTTACCTTCCTCTGAAAGTCCTGAATCATCTGCCATGAAGTTTCAGCCCAGACTTGCGTTGTCTCTGCAAGAAAACAGACGGTCTCTGACCTATACATTGTGTCAGGAGTTGTCTAAAGAGGTCTAGGGAGAGATTGGGTAGAAAGGGTAGAGAACCCTCCACACCCATCCACTGACACACACTGCACAGACTGCCAAGAGGTGGTCCATGTAGGTCCTTAACAAGTAAGTATTCAGGGCATGGCAGCCTGCTCAGTAAAGTGTTGTGAGTGGAGAAAGGAGATGAGGTTTGTGAAGCTCACAGAGGCTCTGGAGGTCGTGAATGTCTATGCTGGCGATAAGAGTCCATAACAGTGAGAAGATAAGTTCTGACGACAAGCAACCATCGCCTCGCCATTTCCAGAGTTTGGCAACCATGCATTAAACAAAAGCAAGGAAGTTTTTAGGTGGTTCTTGAGTTTAGGTCAGGTCATAAAAATTAGATGGTTTTCTGCTGGTCTAAGTCATTGTGGCTGTCTTTCTGGAAGATTAAACTGTGTTACTTTGAGTAAGAAAAAAAATAAAAACTTGATTTAATTGAAAAAATGTATTCCTTTTTATTGTAATGGTTTTTAAAAAATTATATTTTTTCTCTTGTTTAATAAAACCTGGCTGAAAAATAAAGATGTCATTTTGGACATTGGAGAACTGACGTAAGGAACTGGACCTCCTCTGCTTCACTCTCTCCCCTCTATCACGTGGGCGGAAATGATGCTCTTACATCTGTAGATTAGGGGTGACTTTTGACTTTCCTTTGTGTTAGGCAAAATGTAGATAAAGAGAATCAGGTTAATTTAAGTTAAAAGAGCTAAGCTAAAGTCAACCATTCAAAACTAATAATTCTCCATGTCAGGACTGGGGCTGGTTGGTGACCCAAAAGTAAAAGCCTGCTACAAAATATAGAAAATAACATTATATTTCTTAGATAACTAAGTTTCTTCTTAAAAAATTTTGCATTTGTTTTTGTTTTGTGATGTGCAGTGGGTAGGGTACTTTATGTGAAGGCAAGAGGACAGCTTACCCAAGTTAGTTCTTTCCTTTCATGGGTAGATAACTGTATTTCTAAACTGGGATTCATGCCTGGTATGGTAAAAGTTGGCAAGATCAGTTGCTTAGTGCCTCCTTCCCTGCTAGACCGTGAGCTTCTTGAAGAGAAGGACTGTGTGCTGGGCTCACCACACTACCCCTTCTGTTGGGAATGTGAGAAATACCTTTTGAATATAAGGATGAAGAAATATAACTTCCTTCTTGCAGATCCTTATCACAATATGGTTCAAAAGCTTGAATTTCCTCAGAACCCTAAGAAAATACTTTAGGATCAGAGTTGATAAAACATTTGAACTGTATAATTTATAGAGAACACAGAGTCAATTTGGAATGTTCATGAACATAGCTGCAGCTTTCTTCCATTTTATTACAGTAAAATCCATTTTCCCCTTCAATAAAAAGTAATAACAAATCCATGGTCACTTTTTGGGTTTTTTTTCCTGTCTTCTTTTTTGATGAAGATTGTCATTACTTTGTGTGATTGTGTTCCCACCAGCAGTTGGAGAAACAAGGTTTATCTAATGTAATATATCTAATTTACATTAATGCAATGTAAATACAAGGAGAAGGGTGCAAGGCTCATTCTGATCACTCAGAGCCTGGTCTCCTGAGAACATCTTTACCCTTTGTGCTATGGTGTGCTTGCTCCTGCAGGAGATGCATGCTCTCCTGGTGACCTACCTCAGTGATCTGTTTATTGAGGACTTTGTTTCAAGTTTCCTCCAAACTTGTAGACTGTTTACTAGCATATTAGCTTTTATGTGGCAAACTCATTGGGAGTAAAACTAAAAGGCTGACATTTATATGAGACCAGCTTCTAGATGGAACAGAAAATGCAGTATGTCCACTAAGCCTGACATTTAAAACATTGTTATGAATCTTAGAAAAATAACCATTTCTTTTTTAAAATTGGAAAAAAAAATGTTGCAATAAGGCCACTTGTTTGTTTCCCGACTACTCAGCCCCAAAATAATCTCACAGAAACCATATTGTTTGCAATACTGGTTAGCCAATAGCCTAAGCATATTTCTGGCTAACACATATCCTAAACTAACCCATTTCTATTAAACTGTGTATTACCATGTGGCTGTGGCTTACTGCCTAAAGTTCTGGCATCCATCTCTGGTGGGACTACATGGCTTCTCCCTGACTTTGCGCTTCTTTTTCCCAGAGTTCAGTTTAGTTTTCCCCACCTAGCTTTGTTCCCCTATAGCTCTGCTATAGGCCCAAAGCAGTTCCTTTATTAACCAATGGTTTCACAGCATACAGAGGGGAATCCCACATCACCTCCCCTTTTTTTGTCTAAATAAAAAGGAAGGTTTTAACTTTAACAGAGTAAAATTACATATACAAAACATATATCAAGTAAGACGTACAGTTACAATATTTATATCTACTTTATTTTTTATCATAACTAAGGAACACTATTACTATAAATTTTTCAACTCCATTAAAGACTCCAGAAGGATATAATATTGCCTAAGTAAACAGGAAGTATATTGTAAGCAACTTCCAAAACTCTAGACTTTACAGAGAAATCTCGCTGCCTGGACAGTCACCCAAAGTTCTTCTGTACTGTTGGAGCATCCATATTCAGCCTACAAGTACATATCCACCAGACTTTTCCATGAAGCAGGAAATTTCAAAGACAGTCCTGCCTATATTGTCAGTTTGTCGGTCATTTTCTTCTGTGTCCTGCAGAATGTCTAGAAGATTCTTTCAGGAACCCCAAAGGATTGTCTCACCTTTGGGCAAGCTCAGCAGTCATATCTCTGTAGGGACTGCATGTCCAGTTCATCAAGCAGTCCAGGAAAAAGCACTTTTTTGCCCAAATGGCTAACCAATTCTGTAAGGAGCCTCTTCGATGCCCATCTTCCTCTTGAAGCAGCTTGCTGCTTTCAGGAGCAGACGTGTCTCACAGTCATGAAAATCCCTAAGTTCTTAAAACATTTTAAATGCCATACTCTGAAGGTCTTTGAAAGATTTGAAGAATACCTAAATGAAACATATCTCTATTATCTAGAAAACCTAATTAACATGACTACAAGCTTGACTATTATAGATGATTATATATTATATTTTTAAATGAGCTGTATAAACACAATATCTTAATCAAGATCAGAAAGACATATACACAGTATAACAAAATTGACATTAAATTTGTATCAATAAACCAAAATCCATACCAATGCAAATCTCTATAGAATAGCTCCCTTTAAATGTAAACAAACATATATAAACAATATTAGAGAGTTTGGGTATAGTTCTCTTGACTACTGCCTGCTGATTGGAGATGCTATTAATCAGGTCTTTCATGGTATATTCTGTGTGCTAGGTTCATCTCAGTCAGCAGGTGTGTGAAGTAATTTTTGGGGGGTGTTCATGGCAAGCTTTCAGGGGGGTTTGGTCCATCAAATCATATCAGTCTGGAAGGATTCCACAGGTTCTCATCCTCTGTGGAAACAAAAGAAGAACCTCTTTTCCAAAGTAACACATCCTTAGACCCATATTTGGAAGTCATGATACCTTTATAATATACATGCTGGTTTAGCTTAACAGCCCATATAATGAAACGTCTCTCTGTACTTAGCTCCTTCATAGTCAAAAAATTCAAAGAAAACACAATAATATATATAATCCAGACTCTCTGTGAATTTTCCATCTTTACGTGGCTTATTCTTTGTTTACTCCTTTTAATCTATAATTGTCTATACTCTGTCTTTTTAAAGACTTCCTTTTTTAAAAAAAAAAATTACTTCTTATAACTGTGTATATTCTTTTTCTTCTCTCTCCCAAGCCTTCGTACATGTATCCAACACTGTGACTCATTTAGAGGTCTTTTATGTCTGAATCTGTCCTATTGTGTATCTGAAATTCTTTTCTGTCTTGAAGAGCTTTTAAAATGGTAAGCAGTTTGGGTGCAGCAGCTCTGGATGCTGGCTCCACCTCTTTTCGCTTTTAAAATGGTGGAGGTACCATTACTGCCAGCACTGGAACCACCAGGTAGGAGCCACGCTCAGCACTTTAACTCTGAGAATGAGCATGTAGCACATAAACCCTTTATATCTGAGTAATAGCTGGATATGCCATGCAGAGCATTGCGTGGCCTGGAAATATCTCTGTGTATGGCTTCAGGAATCTGCCATGTTATCCTGCCTGTGCACTCCTAGCAGTCCTGATCCCACTGTGCTGACCTGTGGGCATGGTCTCAGCTACTTTCCCAAGTGGGCATACAAGCACCTGGGCCCACAAACCCCATTCAAGTGCTCCATAGCTGAACTTCCAGACAAACCATGCAGAGGTAAACCACACATCTAACAAATCCACTGTGCGACTGTTAATTTTGGTTTTGGTTTATGTTAGTTGTAGACCTTCCAAAGCTACCTTCTTTTAATATTATTTCATTAAAGATTAGGATTTCAAAATTTGGCTTTTGTGGGTATACAAGCATGCAGCATTATGTAAATTCCCTCTAACTATTCTCTTGAAGTGGAAATGAGTTAATGAGTTAGCATAAATAGTCAATTAGCACTTAGCATAATTTACCACGTTCAACAAATAATAAATTAGCAATGCCCCTTGCATCGGATTAGAACATGTTGATTTTACTGGGACAGGTTTTCATGGATAGATTTTCTGTGTAGATCTCAATCTCAAAAGCATCCATACATTTGTACTTCAGTTTGCCAAGCTGGTTATTAACCATAGCTCATAGGCCTCCCTATAATCAATGCATTGAGTATGTGATAATTCCTATTGTTAATGACAATAATAATTCATGGGGCTGGAGAGATGGCTCAGCTATTAAGATCACTGGCTGTTCTTCCAGAGGACCGAGGTAGTGGCTGTAGGATCCGCCTTCTTCTGGCCTCCTAGGACACATATGACACACAGACGTCCACGCAGATGAAACACCCCCACATATATAAGTTTTAAAACATTTTAAGTAAACTCTTTGGGTTATTATAAACATTCTCTCTATCTGCAAAGATGTTGTAACTATAAGGTAATTATGTTCATCAGGATAAACCAGGTTATGCTGTCACAACCAATAACCCGTAAAGCTCTATGATTTTATATGATAAGGACATCTTTCTTGTGCTCTATGATTTTATATGATAAGGACATCTTTCTTGTGCTCTATGATTTTATATGATAAGGACATCTTTCTTGTGCTCTATGATTTTATATGATAAGGACATCTTTCCTGTGCACATCTCATGCTCTGTGGAGGGAGCAGGCTGCTCTCCTCTGTGCTGGGCTGGCTTAGCAGCTAGATCTCAACAACAGGAATGTGAGGGTCATGAAGAGGAGAGGAGGGGAAGGAAAAGGAGGGGAGGGGAGAGAAGTGTGGAGGAGGGGAAGAGGGGAGAATAGGGAGGAGGGGAAGGGAGAGTAAAGGGGGAGGGAAGGGGAGTGGAGGAGGGGAAGAGAGGGAAGAAGAGGAGAGTAGGGATGAGGGGAGGGAGGGGAAAGGCAGAGCTGAA